TTTTTTTATCGCGAATCTTGCCTTCAACGCATGTTCAACACACAAACGGAATGGTACAGACACCCTGCCCCTGCAAAAATTTGATTGTTGTTGCTGAGATGAAATACTGCGCCGCGATGCGCTCTCCCCCTAGTATACCAGCGCCAACATTTATCAGACTACGCGAGTAGTGCATGATGTTCCATTCCTATAGTGCAATATCGCGCCCGCGAATTTGGTTCATCGCGTCATTGCGCACACAATGTCGCGTGTCGCCTATTCAAGCGTACCGCCGTCGACTATAAACGCATATCATGCCTGAATACAATCAGCATGGTTCCAGTATGACTGACCAATAGGGGTTCCGTGATGCGTGGCTGATTTTCTTTCTTTCAATATTACTTTGGGTCCAGTTCAGTAAGGGTTTAGGCTCAGTAGCTGCAGAAATTTCCGGTGCAAAAAAACCCGAGTCGTCCTGCCCCAATTTTGCACGGGCCTTTGCGCAGAACATCACACAAATTCTCGTTATGGTCAAGTATCACGCTTAGGCCGATGTCAGACTTTGCGAATCGCGCGATTCGCTAGCGTCTGCGGTCGCGTCGCGGAATCACTCAATTGGCTGGTACCGCAACGCGACCGCGGACGCTAGCGAATCGCGCGAATCGCTAGTAGCGAATCGCGCGATTCGCAAAGTCTGACATCGGCCTTAGTGAATCATAGTATTTGCAGGGTTTTGGATTCATCTTACAGCAAAGAAGGGACTAGGCACTCATTCAGTTGCTTTTGTGATCCATCTTGTCACTAGATGGCTCCGTGACTTTTTTACACCTAGAGGCGTGGCCGCAGCAAGTGCGGACGAGTTGATGGCGCTCCCGGCACAGTGAGCGCGCTCATGAACGCGGCCGCGACGCAGCCACACGCAACAGCGGCGGCACTACCGACTCGTCCGCGCTCGCCTCGGTCACGCCTTTAGTGTGAAAAAACAGAGGACCCTAAAAATATGTTTTGCCAAACCTTTTTTCACTCGATATTCATCTGTTCGGTTGAGCGTTCACAGTTATTCGGTCAGGCGGCACCCGGCCGGACCACACGTTCTTCAGTCGGGTGTAGCCTGACACACCATTATCTCCATTTTGACCCTCTTTTCTTACTGTACTGAGTTTTTCTTTTGTGGAATTTCTTTCATGTGAACATCTAGCAACGACACAATAAGCTTCATGATCTTCATGGGAAAATAGAATCATTGGAGGAGGTTAGCAAAGAGAAGCCCAGTGTTAGTGCTGGTATTCAACAAATAACAATATTTATGGATATGTACAACTCATAGAGATCCCTTAGGCTGCTTTTATACTCGACGAAGGAGAAGCGTGCGCCGGCTGCTCCTGACTGCTTCGCGGGAGCGCCGCAGCCAGGAGTTTAAGGTTACCTTATCGCATGCTAATGAGGTTAAATTAAACACCGAGGAGCCCAGAAGATGGGCAGCGACAATCGGCGGTAATCGTTACGTATATTTCACATAGGCAGTCGGCAGCGAATTCGTCAAGTATAGAAGCAACCCTAACCAGCCATCTCGAAACCTCAGACGTTTCCATGACAATGCAAAGGCGAAAATTATTTCAGTGCAATGAACTATTTGAGATACGTTTTCGCCGGAGGTTTTGAGACATTGTGGCCAGGTCATTCACAGCCAAATGCGCCACTCTGAACTCTGTGTTCGAAATGGACACACTGTAGAGTCCAGTGTCTTTAGGAGAAGTGTCATGAATAACCAAATAATGCTTGAGGCCGTTGACCACATGCTCCATCTTGTTGGGATTGTTGAACGCGATTTCCTGACCGTTCTTCAGCCACACAAGACTGGGCACGTGGTCACCGTCTTCCAGTTCACAAGCGATCGTGGCGGTGCTGCCCGGTGGCATCAAGTACTCCTGCACGTCCTCGTCCTCACTCTCCGTGCCCGACGCGACCACCGTCACCTCTTTCTCGTCGATACGCTCTAAACGAAACATGCCATGCAACACAAAGCTGGCCTATCGGGAAGGGTGGGTGCCCGTCAGGAGGCCCTTCTTCGCGGCGAAGAGGCGGAAACGCACACAACCCAGCACACAACCCAGAGGACGAGTCGCAGCGCGTACTGTAGCAGTTCAGCGTCAGGTTGAATAGCATGCGCTATTACATCGTATAACATGCGCACATAAACGCGCTTGCGATCGTCGTGCCGCTGACTCTGGGTCTCTGCCCTTTCTCGCTGTCGCAACGAGGCTCATCAATGCGTCGGGACTCGAAGGCGTAATCACTTCACGACCGAAGCGTGATAGCCACGCTCTGCTCGCGAGAATCGCGAAATATGTGCCTGATGCGACATCCGGCCGTCTGTGGAACATCCACCGGCTCCATCACGTCCCCACGAGTTTTTCCAGCTGTAAGCGCGCGGTCTCCTTTCAGTGGTTTCCGGTCCTTCAACCAAACGACTTCTTGGTTTGGATGGCTCACTTGGCACATCAGCACCGTCGGCTGTCCTTCCATGACGAACTGAGTTTGGGGAGGAGTGAGAATGGTCGCGCCAATATCCTCTGTTGATGGCGCTTCCACAATCAAATAGGCCACCGGGAAGATGTCATCGTTAACCTTCAGGCTGTACAGCTCGTTGTCCTCCATTTCAATATTGTTTATGATCAGCACTTCAAGAAGATCGTGGCTGATTCTGTCCAGCTTCCCAGGGCAGGTCGTCACCTGTGACGTGCCCTTATACCAGTCTATTTTGCTGTTCGGCGGTAGGTAATTGTTCAGCTCGCAAGTAATAGTTGCGGTTGATCCCAGTTTGATCACATAGCTCGGTATGTTGATGCTACCGTTGCTTATGGTGTTATCTATCTCAGATATGGTGTTTTGGGATTGCTCCAGCGAGGCTTGGGAACGCAGAGACTTCCTCTCGTCAGGGTTCGTCTCTGACACGGTGACGTTGAATTGAACAGACGTCTTTGACTCATCTTCTACGCTCTTACCCATGATATCGCATTCAGGAAGAGTCATCTCCACCTCGCCCCATGGGATTTCCTCGAGGAGAAGCGTAGATGCCGTCGTGTAAACTTCTGCGAACGACGACACAGTGATGCCGGTACGGCTCTCACCATCCACATCTTCGAAAGAGAGCTCGTCTCATCCAGGTCATCGTAAGCTCTCTGAGCATCCGTCTGTTGGGGAGTGAACTCCATCACAGTGAGAGAAGTGAAGTTCACTTGATCTTCGACCACTCTTATCACCAAACCCAGGCTCTCCGGCTCTCTTGATGAATCTCCACGTCGAATGTGTTGTCAGCGATTCGTGCACTTGCGAACATTCTCACATCCGGAAAGACGATTGCCATCAAGGCTTTTTTAGCCTGTGCCCGGAAGAACGTGAACGATCCTTCGACGTTGTCCAGTATGGACCGATCGATCTCTGTAATGACGGAGTCGTCACTGAGAATGTCTGTTTCCCTCACTCCCATCCTCGACGACGGCGTCATTCTGTCGGTGTCGTCCGTCCACTCAGAGGATGCCATCTGGGAAAGATGGGCTTCCTCTAGCACAAGGTGAACCGTGTCTTCAGAAACTGATTCTTTTTCAGGTGAGGCGGTACCGCCACTCAAAAAACGACCAGGTTTTCCTTTCTCGTCGCTCTTCGTCATCATACTTAGTTCTGTGAAGTGAAGCTCCACTTCATCCTTGTTGGTATCGCCCTTTATGAAGCTCAACATCGACACTGATTTCGACGGTCTCTTCTTGTTCAGAAAGGTCAGGCATAATTTTCGAATTTCTCTGTGAAGCACTCAGGGAAGAAATGGACTGGGGTGTAGCGCCCCTGGGGGAGTACTTGTTGAAAAACTGCACCGTTCCTTTGAGCAGAGCCGAAGTGTCAGTGTCAGTTGCATAGTCGGACTCCTCACAGGTCATTTGCACCGAACTGACACCATCTTCGGCCCAAATATCGCCTGACGTTGTCATCACGTTGGTTAAGGGTATCTCCAACGCTGCAGTGGCTTCGAAAGAAGCAGGTATGCAGCTGAAAGTGAAGTCCCGGCGTAATTTGTCTCAATGGTGTTTTCCTTAGAGGCAATACCGTTTCTTCAAGTTTCTTCATCAGATTGGTCTCACTCTCAGTGGGAGTTGTTTTGGGGGTTTCGTAAAGGGAAATGGGTTCGGGTTCCAGTTCGTTGTCACTGCTTTTTTCAACCTTGGCCCTTTGTGCACCTCTCTTCAGCGATTCGTTCAGTTCTGACTGTACCCACTCGGGCTCAGAAAGTACTTCTTCCTCATGCTGAGACACAGCCATCTGGCTAAGCTCTTCGAGAAGAGATTTCTCGAGGTCCTCCGCTTCACCTTTCTGGGCTCGCATACAGCTGAAGTTTCGCAGCATGTCAAATGTATCGCCCGCAAAGGACTTCTTTATTTTGCCAGGACTTGTGTCTTTCGGGGGCAGAAGTGGAGGGTCTGCCGTAATTCTCGACTGCTCAACGGGTGTTGAGTCAAAAAGATTGTCAGCGATCAGCCCGTGTTCTGTGAGGATCGTCCTTCTTCCTTCTAGGAGGCCTTGCCGGGGGATCTGTAGGCTCCGCTTCCTCTACACACTTCGAGTCCGACGCCGTCGCGGCGGAGCGACGGGTGTGGGCGTCTCGTCTTCTGTAGTGCATTCGACGGTTGCAATTAGAGGTGGCTCGCTTTCTTCGTCGCCCTCACTCTGCAGGACTCCTTTCCAGGAGCTTTTAAGCTCTGTCGAGTACTTCCACGTATCGTCGCTCGTGGAAGCAGCAGTGGACGACTTGCGGTAATCTGAATTCTCCATTGAAAAACGACTTTGTCATCACCACCACCTCCGTTTGGTATTCTGCAGGTGCTCGGCTGAAAACGCAATCGGTGGTGACCATCGCTCCCACGCTTGTCTAAAAGCTTTGGATGTGGTGGTTTCTTTTTTTGTCAGCCCGACATCACGATTTACTATGCTCGTCACATTGAGTTCGGACTTATGGAGCACGTTTCATCTCACGGCATCCAGATTGAAATCCATTACGCTGTGACCGTCTGTCGCCCTTCTTGGAGACAAACTCGTTTCCTGGCAGTAGTTTTGATTGTGTTTAGGTCTCATTGATTTATTTGACCATATTAAACAAAGATCATGTAGTTGTGTTTCTTTTCTGACTTGCACTTTCACTACGGGGGTCTGTGAAACGTCCGCGTCATCGGTGGTGGATTCTCCATTCATTTGAGCGGAAATCATTTCTTCGAGACTGGATAGCTGATCCTTTATGGTCGATGTCAGTGGGGTAACTCTCAGATAATCCGCACTTGGAACACGGTTTCTGGGACCTTTTTGAGACCTCAAGACCGGGTGGTGTCTCACCAGCAAGTATGGCGGTCTCCGGGGCAATCTGTGGATGTTCAGTGATATCCATCACTTCCTGCGATCTTCCAGTAGAAAAGCTCCGAGGTCGGTGGACAGCTTTTCTTTCTCAGAGAGTTGGTAGGTGGGAGTGTCATCAGTTCGATCTCTTCTGCAGCGGTTCTCGTCGGGTTCAGAATCATGTCGGCGAGGGTGGTTCTGAGCAGCTCTTCATTAGCTTCCGCCTGAGCTTCAGTGATGGGACGAGCTAGCATAAGCTGATCGGAATCTTATAAATTGCGTCCTCGATCTCCTTCACATCTTCCGTAGGAGAGGCCGTCGGACGCGGTGACGACGACAAATGGCCAAGCTCCTCGTCCACCTGGCGAAGCAATACGCGTTCAATTTCCTTCATTTTACTGAGAAATTCGGGGTCAAACATTGTTGACTCGAGTTTTGCAGCGCCTTCAGAGACCGATTTGCCTGTTTGACCGAAAAGACGTGGATTTGGCTTGACTGATTGTGCTCGAGGTCTTTCAGGCAGGTCCAGTTTGTCGGGTTCAGGCGCCCTCACCCCTGAAACACCATCCCTAACAACAGGAGAAGCCACCACTGGCCCAAGAGGATATCCCGTCGTTGCGTCAGACCTGAGTTCGATCATGTCATCGAAATCACCGTTTTGCTCAGGTAGAGCGTTACGGATTTTTCTAATCGACTGCGTGATATCCAGCTCGGTGTCGAATTCGAAAGAGGTCTCCAAACACGTTTTCTTCGAGATTTTCATCTCACCATTTTCATTCACAATCACTTCCTCCTTTTCTATCTCGTTCACTGAGATGGCAATTTCCTGCCCTTTGTAGGACATTTTCAGAGGCAAATCTGGCTCACGAGGTGCTACTGCCTCTTTTTTGACTTCCTCTTCAAAATCTTGCCTCCTCTCTAACTCAGTTACCATCTCTTTAGGGGGTTCGTGAACGTCGGCGTGGGTGACGCGTAGTGACGGAATCGCAAAAAGATGAGCAGCCGAACTGTAAGAATCTCGTCTAGGAATAATCAGGTCTACACGGGCGCTTGCCGCCGGTCTGCTTAGGAAATGAGGCGTACACGCGCTCGCGCTGCTCCCATTCCATGATTCGGACCCCGGTTTCGGCAGTATCAAAGTATCTGTGGAATGCATTGGTCTCGTGCAAGTCCTCATTGTAGCTGACAATTCGCGAGAGGTCGAACTCAGAGTTGTAAGTGACTGAGGAGCGATGAAGTGATTCGGTATCTGAAGGGAAGAGCTTGTTGGCCTTGTTCTCTTCCCATTCGAACGAATCAAACGAGTCCTCGGCCTCATCGACAAGCTCAACTACCGATGGGACGTGCTCGATGAAGCGTGGAGCCGGTTGTGGTTCGTCTTCTGAAATGGAAAGCGGGGAGAGCTCGTTCTCAGTCTCAGTCATGCATGTGGGAAGCGCAGCCGCCAGACAACACACATACAAAAGGCACAAAACACAAAACAAAACGTAAGCTGATCTACATGAATGAACTGAAAGTTAGCGGTTGAGTGGAAGGCGAAGGTTATTTTGAGGGAAGAAGAGTGGCAAAAGACGTACGTACATGCGCCTAGCACGAATCATCACGAGAGCATGATGCATTCAGTGATGAGCAATGATCATCGGACGTTTTATTTTGTGATTTTGGCACTTGAGATGTCGTTGCTCGACGTCCACACTTGAATTCCCATCAAAAAGAAGATAATTCCGAATAAAAATTGATAACTCACTGAGAACTTTGAGGTAGCACTTTGTAACCGCCTTGCCGGCCGAGTTCTTCGCCTCGCACGAGTACTCGCCTTCGTCTTCAGCCAACGCCTCGTTAATCCGCAAAATGCAAACGCCATCTTCGTAGACGATTTCGTACTCCCTGAAAAGGAGTTTTTTATTGAGGGTTTCACGGTGTGCTAGCAAAACTGATGGCACTTACCGGCAAGACTGAATAACATCCCCATCGACGTACCATGCCACTTCTGGTGGTGGCATAGCGCTGACGATGCATTTGAACTGAGCGCTCCTTCCGATAACTGTTTGACAGTCTTGTAACGTTTTGGTAAACCTGAATGTGGAAGGATAAGTGGAGGGATTCATTGCTTTGGCAGGTCCCTTTATTGGGAGCCACAAACCTAAAGCAACAGTCCCAGCAGGGTTTTTACCTTCGACACTAATGGTGTGGAACGATGCGCTAGCCCTAGTCAAGAACATAAGAAGTGTGACTGAACAAAAACTCACCTTGGAAAGCCGCTAGAAAGGGAGCTGAACAGCTTCGAAGTGGGCGTGGTTGGCAGTCGGCTTGCAGCCGATTCCAACCACGCCCACTTCGAAGCCGTTCAGCTCCCTTTCTAGCGGCTTTCCAAGGTGAGTTTTTTGTTCAGTCACACTTCTTATGTTCTTGACTAGGGCTAGCGCATCGTTCCACACCATTAGTGTCGAAGGTGTAAAAACCCTGCTGGGACTGCTGCTTTAAGTTTG